CCGCCGGGTCAGGCCGGGCTCTGAAAGCACAAGAAGGAACCCCGTCAGCGCCAGCCCGAGGCCCACGCCAGCAATGCTTGCACGACTTCAAGGGACGCCCCTCTCCCCGGGTAGCCCGGGGACAATCTGGGGTCCCAGGTGTACAGCCGTTTCCCAAAAGGTAGACTGTCTAAGACAGCTTCATTTCCTTTTAGAATGTCTTTTTATTTATTTATTTTTGTTGTTGTTGGTGGTGGGAGCGGGGGCGGGGTAAAGGCGGCTTGCTTCTAAAGTGTGGCTGAGTTTGAGGAACTTTGCTGCAAGAATCGAGGGTGAATAAGGAAGAAACTTATCAGAGGCGGGCTGCCTTTGGACAAGCCTTGGTGGAAAGAGAGAGGAAGGGGATGGGAAGAGAGGGGGGAGAGGGGGAGAGACAGAGACAGCGAGACTCGGTGACATGCCTGCCAGAGGCTCCCCTCATCTGGTTGTCCACCCTGCTCCAAACTAGGAGCCTCCAGTGCCTGCCACCTCCACCCCACCCTGGCACACACCCCTGTCATCTTGGTCATCAAATGCTCCACCGGCACTGGGGACCATCCTCATGTTTCTTGGACGCAAGGTTCCATTATCCAAATTAACAAAATAAAACAACTTATTTTCCGACTCTCGACTGTTGGCTGAGAAACGGAGGTTCTCTTGGAGGTATGTGTAAAGTTGAGATCCACATCTGACCTTTTTTTTTTTTTTTAAGCGGCCTCTTTTTCCTGCAGGGTCTGTGGCAAGTGGGTGGCTTTGCCCCGCTTCTCCCTCCTGGGCAGCGCCCCGGCCTGGGCACACGGAGTGGGCGCCAACTGAGCGCGTTAAAACTGGGCGAAGCTCCACCGCTGCAGAGGCCGCGCTGGGAGCCGCCTAGACGCAGCCTCCCTGCCCTTCCCATCTCTCTGCTGTCTGGGCTTAAGCGCTCTTTTTGCCGAAGGGGAGGTGGGTGGAGAGGAAACGCAGAGTTTTCGTGGAAACCCAGGCAGGAGGAAGCCAGGGACACAGAGAAGAGGCAGGTCCTGGAGCAGGGACCAGGGCCTGCCTCCTGAGACCTGGTGCGGGTTGGAACTGGGCTCCAAATCCCCAACCAACCGAGCTGGCCAGTCTCCGCGGGCGGGCTGCTGGGTGCTCACTGTCTGCAGAAATGAAAACTTCCTTCAGAGAAGCCTGAGGACATCTCTCCTCCCAAAGAGAAAATATTGGCGAGGGTTTGTTTTGTTACCAAATAAAAACAACTGACCTTCAGGGATGGAAACAGCAGGACCCCGTTGGAAAGTTACTGACCACGCAGGCCGAGGGCTTGCATGGCACCCCGGGTGTCCCAGCTCCCCTGGTCCTTGGGGCCCAGTCCGGAACCTCTCTCGCCCTGTGCCCCGTGTCCCTGAAAGCGAGGTGAGTCAGCTGGGGATGGATGGGCGCCCTGAGGCCACCAGGAAGGTCCCTTCCCCGCGGGGCTAGGAAGGCTCTGCGGGTGCCTGGGGCTGTTCGGGGAGCGCGGTGGCCGGAGGACTGTGGCCGGTTCTCCCTGGAGCCGGAGCGCGGAGGGAATCCCGTGTTTAGAGTCCGCAGCAGAAAACCGCCGGCTGCTTTGCGAACAGAGCAAAGTTTAATGTTCTCCCGGCTCTGGGGTCGGAGATAAAGCAGCCTGCGAGTGGATGAATAGCTCCGAACTGGTCTCTTTAGTTACGGGGCCAGTTTGCGCCTGGAACGGAGGGGCCGTGGCACTGCCAGCAGAGGGGACCAACCTGCGAGGCGCCTCTCAGGGCCCCCAGACCCGCGTGGAGGCTGCGGACCCGGCCAGAGATTGGACGAGAGGGAAGGTGGCGTTTGCTTCCTCGGAATGTTGCGCCTCAGGCACAAGACTCCAGGGTGACAGGAGTCAGCGCAACAGCGTCCCGGCCGCCTCTGCCCTTCCTGCCGCTGGACACTGGGTCTGGGCCTCGCTGTCTGCGCACCAGTTGCGCTTTCGGAGCCCGGGAGCCGAAACTGCGCGGGAGACTCGGCAGACTGGCTTCCTGAAGCCGCTCAAACTCAAGCTACTCTTACCCACGCTGCCCTTACCCACGCTGCCCTGACCCACGCTGCTCTTACCCACGCTGCCCTGATCCACGCTGCCTTGACCCACGCTGCCCTTACCGCGCTCCCAGACCCATGGCTGCCCTGACCCATGGCTGCCCTGACCCAAGCTGCCCTTACCGCGCTCCCAGACCCATGGCTGCCCTGACCCATGGCTGCCCTGACCCAAGCTGCCCTTACCGCGCTCCCAGACCCCGCAGACGCGCAGGGCTCCCCACCAAACCCTGCAGGACCCTTTACGCCCCGGGACTCAGACCTGGTTTGGCCGCCACCCTCTCACTTTTGGGTGGAGGAGCCGGGCACAGGGTTGACCGGGCTAGTCCGGCCTCGCAGCGAGCGCCTGGGGAGAGCCGGCCTGGGACGGACCCGCAGCTGTCAGTCTCCTCCCCGAGCGCCCCGCTCTCTGCCCGCTACACCTGGGCAGGTGGGTTCGGGCGGAGAGGCTCGGGCGGCAGGGAAAGCGGGAGGGGGCGCAGCACAGCCAAGACTGTGTGGTGGTTTCGGTGTCGGTGAGAAGCTGGCGTCCCGGGGACTGTGGCTGTGAGTGGGGTGGTGTGTTTGTGGGAATATGAGGACTCGCTGTGGAGACAGCAAACCCCTAAGATTCAGGACCTATTTCCCTTCGGGGAGGTGAACCCTTCGGGATCCGAGGGGGCGCAGGGCCTGCCTTTTGGACTCTGAAGTGAAGGGGAAGAAGGCAGGCCCTCGTCGCCGGGGAGGCCGGGAGAACCTGTTCCCCCACGGCCGGCTGATCAGGGCCCATCCCGACCCTCCTGACCTCCCCGTCGGTGCCAAGCCCCGAGGGTGTACTCACCCGCCCGCTCCGCGTCCATGGCTGTGACCCGCTCACTGGGATCCCCAGGGGGCTCCGGCCCGTCCTGCCATCCCTCTCCGTCGCCACGGCTAC